TAAGTCAGATAATAAAAAATTAGTAACATTATTAAAACAACAGTTCTAAGTCAGATAAAAAAAAATTTGTAACATTATTAAAACAACAGTTCTAAGTTTTATACAGTTCTAAGTCAGATAATAAAAATTAGTAACATTATTAAAACAACAGTTCTAAGTCAGATAATAGAAAATTAGTAACATTATTAAAACAACACTTCTAAGTATTATACAGTTCTAAGTCAGATAATAAAAAATTAGGAACATTATTAAAACAACAGTTCTAAGTATTATACAGTTCTAAGTCAGATAATAAAGAATTAGGAACATTATTAAAACAACTAGTTCTAAGTATTATACAGTTCTAAGTCAGATAATAAAAAATTAGTAACATTGTTAAAACAACACCTCTAAGTATTATACAGTTCTAAGTCAGATAATTGTAAATTAGAACTGTTGTTTTAATAATGTTCCTAATTTTTTATTATTTGATTTAGAACTGTATAATACTTAGAACTGTTGTTTTAATAATGTTCCTAATTTTTTATACTACAATATTAGTGTTTACCTAAACTAATTTGATTCCAATTTTGCAAGTTTATTTCATATACGGTGTGTATAATTTAAAGAAAAACAATAGTTGTTATCTGGAGTGAGAGTAATGAGAAAGACATATTCATCTGATTGTGCTATTTCAACTGATGATGATGACGTTCGAATAAAATACGGTTCAAATAATCAAGAACATGTCAACTTAGACAGGAAAGGTAAAACAGATACATAACGGCATTAAACTTATTTTAAGAAAATATCTAAATATTTGATATGAAAAATAATATGTACATTTTTTTTTTATTCTTGAAAAGCTTTTCCGGTTTTGCGTTAACTTCACACAAACTACTGGACTTGTGGTGAGTAAAAACTCCACTTTCTTTTTGATTTTACGTCGTAATGTTTGTAGTTCATAATTAATTATAAAAAAAAAATCTATTGTGATTTATTTCAAACGAGTCCCAAGTTTTGTTAGAACAATATGAAAAAGAATTCGAACAATCACTGTACTATGACCATTATAGTACATACGTTAAACAAATCCTGCAGTATGTTTTGTAAGGAAAGTTGCATGTAAAAATCTTATGAATTTTTAAACCTCTTTCATGTTACACACCAATAATTATAGAGGCTAGTGAATAATGTGTCGTTTAAGAATCTATTTAAGTTATAAGCCGCTAGATGGGGCTATATAAAACGTCATAAATACCCATTTCATTTTTAATATTCATTTAGTTTAATTAAGCAGGTCAAAATCACATTTAAACATAGTTGTGTTTTGTCCATATATACATAATAAAGGTGTGTGAATTTGGTTTCTCTTTGCAGACGCAGCAATGTACATTATGTAACAGACTGCTATTTAGTAACACGGTACGTACATAAGCTGCTTCAGTTATTAACCATTTTAAAGTAGACATACCTAAACGCCGTTTCTCGATTTATATTAACAAAATTATTGGTCTTTGAAACTAACTTATAATCTGATTTAAGCGTTATTGTTGTTTGTACATAAGTCTATAAACCATAAACTAACTTATAATCTGATGTAAGCATTATTGTTGTTTGTACGTAAGTCTATAAACCATAAACTAACTTATAATCTGATGTAAGCATTATTGTTGTTTGTACGTAAGTCTATAAACTATAAACTAACTTATAATCTGATGTAAGCGTTATTGTTGTTTGTACGTAAGTCTATAAACCATAAACTAACTTATAATCTGATGTAAGCATTATTGTTGTTTGTACGTAAGTCTATAAACCATAAAGTAACTTATAATCTGATGTAAGCATTATTGTTGTTTTTACGTAAGTCTATAAACCATTTCACCTGTTCTTACTATTATGCTAATCTTTATTAAGCTTTAATCCAGTGATGCAAATAATCCTCACTTTGTCTATCTGTATATCAGGGAATTGTTTTAGTGATAAAAATAAATCCATTCCCATCAAAATACAGCGCTGAATGACCAAAGTATAGTTAGTTTATCTTCTTACAAAATTGCTAAATAGTTATAGTCGACTCTTCATAAATAAATATACGTGACAAGCGCACTTGTCAGCTCTCCAGAAATAATTATACGTGATAGTCAGGGAAATTACAAATATGATCGGGACATTCCGGATAAAAAACACCAAATTTGCTTTAGTTCTTCCTTAACCTTTGAGAATTGACTTTTGTTTTGCTAGAATCCAACAAATTCAAGACCTGTGAACACTCATTTTTGTTTATCTCATAATGAGAAGAAGACGTTATTGATTTTTTTGCATAACACCAAAAACGGTAGATTTGTTTTTCTATGTAAAACCAAAACGGTAGATTTGTTTTTATATGTAACCCCAAAACGTAGATTTGTTTTTCTATTTTACACCAAAACGGTAGATTTGTTTTTATATGTAACACCAAAACGTAGATTTGTTTTTCTATTTTACACCAAAACGTAGATTTGTTTTTCTATTTTACACCAAAACAGTGGATTTGTTTTTATATGTAAAACCAAAACAGTGGA